GGGGGGGGGGGGGAGGAGAACCGGGAGCGCGGACAGAACTTTCACAATATTCTCCCGGCCTGTTAGCCCTTCTATTCGATAAAAGTTGCAGGAATTTATCGCGTGGCCATTTCCAACGGTATTGTAGAAAGCCACCGCGGCTTCCACCCATTGTACGACCACCGTGTACAGCATTCAGTAGCACCGCGGACTGCGACCCGACAACTACCACTCTCTCCTCAATGCCCATTCAACTCGTCAACTCGTCTGTGTTTTCCCACACATCCTTTCCCGTTGTTGTATCCTCCATTTCTCGCGTGTCCCTCAGCCTTTCCTTTCTAATAGGGGGGAGAGGAGAGCAGAGAAGAGAGAGAGAGAGAGAGGAGAGGCCGATCGAGTATCGCGTTTCCTTCTTCCTCTCCTTCCTCTTCTTCTTTTTTATTTTAAGAGAAAAAGAAAGAAAAGAAGAGGAGGGAAAAAATGTTCTCCCGCACGCTCGGCGAGAGGGCGAGAAGGTAAAAGGGATGGTTGAAAGACGAGAAAGGCGAAAAGGAAGAAAGGAAAAGCGCGGGAGAGAAGAGCCAATTAGAAGTCATAGACTTGTCCAATTAACGTAGCGAGAAGCGACCGTCCAAACTCGGATCCCCCTCTGTTCTTCTTCTTCCTCCTCCTCCTCCTTCTCCTCCTCTTATCTTTCTCCCTTTTGGATTATAATTAGTTAATATATAGCGAGCGAGATTTTACGCGGATCTCGCGACCGAGATCCGAATTAACGATCGTACTCGCGATCGCGCAAACGTGGCGATACGCGGCGAGAAAGCGGAGGAAGCCGAATCTTTTTTTTTATTCCTCTCTTTTCTCCCCCTCCCTCGACCTTTTGCTTTCGATCGCCGTGACGGACGTTCGAGCAAAAAATACGTCTACGATAGTGATTTTAATCCCGATTCGGGGGAAGATTATCCGTCGCTTCGATCCGGATACCGCTTTCTTTTTCCTTCCGTTGTTCCAACCGTTTCGTCCATTTTCGCTCGAGATAGATAGAATTTTCGGGGCTTTCGAGGCTTCGATTCGAGAGAAGGAG